GGTACTGGAGGACAGAAGAGCTGGGAAACATCACAGATTGACTCATCAGGTCGACTGGAGTGGATTACATGGGATGCTTGGAGCTGTATATTTCGTCTGCAGCGGTCCTCTGGAGCGTTTGTCCTTGCAGAGGAAATGTTGGTCGCTGAACACTTACTGTGTTGTAGCGGTGGACAAGCACAATAGAGCATTATGGTCTGCCCCATCCAGCACCCTGCAAACCCATCGCTAGGGGTCGTAGGTAGACATTTTAGGCAATATCGATTGTATGGGAGGTTCTATGGAATTATCTTGTGGCCGACGCGTGTTGACGAGTGTCAGACTGTAGGTCATCAGCTGACAGGCGGTGTGTATGTTGGTGTGTATGTCACCACTGATACAGTGGTGGAGGACGAAAGCCGATACTTGGAATTATGGAACACTGACAGGTATAAGGGGATGGAGGAGTTGGTCACCATTACCCATTAAAGGCTGAGGCATCAGGCCGACTGGATCAAACACAGGTTGTTCGGATCTGAGCATTCCATGTTCAGGGGTCCTCTTGAGGCTTCTTCCCTGTCTAGGAAACGTTTGGCGCGGAACATGCGTGTCGCGCTGTTTGCTGTGTTGTTGGTGTGGGCATGCACAATAGAGCATGATGGTTTGTCACATCCAGCACCTTGCAAACCCACCGCTACGGGTCGTAGGTAGACGGTTTAGGTACTGTCGATTGTATGGGTGGTTCTATGGAATTATCGTGCGGTCGACGCGTGTTGACGTGTATCAGGCGGTAGGTCAACAGCTTGCTTGCAAAGCTTGCAAGTGGTGTATATGTTTTACGGTATGCCGCAGCTGATTCTGTGGTGGAGGAAGCAAGGGGCTGCTTGGAATTATAGAACACTGAGAGGTACTGGAGTGTGGAGGTGTTGGCCACCATCACACACTGGCGAATCGGGCCGGCTGTATATAACACGGGTTGTTCATAGCTGAATATTTCATGTGCAGTGGTCTTCTGGAGGCTTTTATTTTGCGCAATAGAACTTCGACGATTAACATTTGCAGCACGTTGCTTGGTGTGTTGTAAGCAGCACGGCAGTGCGTTATCGTGTGCCCCATCCAGTACCCTGCAAGACCTTTCCTTCGTATGTAGATATTTTAGGCAATATCGATTGTGTGGAAGGCTAGATGGAATTCCCGTGCAGCCAACGCGTGTTGACGAGTATCAGGCGGTAGGTCAACAGTTGACAAGCGGTGTGTACGTTGGTTTGTACGTTACCGCTGGCTTTTCGGTGGAGGAAGAGTGCGGCCGCTTGGAATTATGGAACGCTGACAGGTATTAGGACATGCAGGAGTTGGTAACCATCACACACAGATGCAGCAGAACGACTGTATCAAAAAGGTGTTGTTCGGAAATGAGTATTGCATGTTCATTGATCCTTTTCTATCTTCTTCCTCGTCTAGGAAACGTTAGTCGCTTTACATTTGTGTCGCGTTTTTTGCTGTGTTGCAAAGGAATGCATGCAATATAGAGCGTTATGCTTAGTCGTTTTTGAGCATGTTGCATACTAACCCTGGGGGCCCGTAGGTAGACATTTTAGGCAATGTCGATTGTATGGGTGGTTCGATTGGTTTATTAGGTTTGCAGCCGACGTGTGTTGACGAGTATCAGGACGTAGGTTAACAGCTTACAAGCGGTGTATACGCTGGTTTGTATGTGGCCGCTGATCTTTCGGTGGAGGAAGAGTGGGTCTGCTTCGAATTATGGAACACGGACAGGTATAACGGGATGGCGAAGTTGGTCACCATTCACCATTAAAGACTGTTTTATCAGGCCGACTGTATCAAACACGGGTTGGCAGGGGCTGAGCATTTCACGCTCAGTGGTCCTCTTGAGGCTTCTTCCCTGCCTAGGAAACGTTTGGCGCGGAACATGCGTGTCGCGCTGTTTGCTGTGTTGTAGATGTGGTCGAGCACAATAGAGCGTCATGGTTTATCCCACCAAGAACCCTGCAAACCCATCGCTAGGGGTCGTAGGTTGACGGTTTAGGTACTGTTGATTGTATGGGTGGTTCTATGAAATTACCTTGCAGGCGAGGCGTTTTGACCAGTATAAGGCGGTAGGTCAACAGCTTGCAAGTGGTGTATATGTTGGTTTGTATGTCGCTGTTGATCCTCAGGTAAAGGAAGAGTTAGACTGCGTGGTAGTGTTGGAACACTGACCGGCATTTGAGGGTGGAGGAGTTGGCACCATCAAAGACAGACGCATCCTACCCATTGTATCAATCACGGGTTGTTCGGAGCTAAGTATTGCATGTTCATTGATCCTCTTGAGGCTTCTTACTTGACTAGGAAACGTTCGCCTCTGAACATGTGTGTCGCGTTGTTTGCTGTGTTGTGCAGGAAGGCACGCAAGATAGAACGTTATGTTTAGCCGTATCGAGCATGTTGCATAACCATCCGTAGGGGCCGTACGTATACATTTTAGGCAATATTCATTGTATTGGTGGTTCTATGGTGTTACCTTGCGGCCGGCGGGTGTTGACGGGTACCAGGCGGTAGGTCAACAGCTTACAAGTGGTGTGGTTTGTATGTCGCCGCTGATTTTGCGGTGGAGGAAGAGTGCGGCTGCTTGGAATTATGGAATACTGACAGGTATTAGGGGATGGTGGAATAGTTACCATCACAGACTGACGCATCAGGCCACCTGTATCAAACACGGATTGTTCGGAGCTGAGTATTGCATGTTCAGCGCTCGTCTGGAACCTTTTGTTTTGCAAAATAGAAGTTCGGTCATTAACATTTGCAGCACGTCGTTTGCTGTGTTGTAGAGGAAGGCACGCAGGAGAGAGCGTTATGTTTAGCCTTATCGATCACCCGGCATTCCCATCCCTAGGGCCCGTATGTAGACATTTTAGGCAGTAGCGTTTGTATTGGTGGTTCTATGGAATTCCCGTGCAGCCGACGCATGTTGACGAATATTAGCCGGTAGGTCAACAGCTTACAAGCCGTGTATGTGTTTGTGTGCATGTCGCTGCTGATTTTGCGGTGGAGAAGGTGTGCGGTTGCTTTGAATTGTGAAAGAGTGACCGAATTGGGAATATGCCGAAGTTGACCACCACCGCACACTGTGGTTGCAGGCCGACTCGATCAAACACGGGCTGGTCGGAGCTGAGTGGTCTTCTGGAGGCTTCTTGCTTGACCAACAAATGTTCGGTGTTGAAAGTGTTGGTGGAGAGTCTCTTGCCGTTTTGTAGGAGTGGGCGATAATGAAATACCGTTGTTTTCTATCGGTGTTGGGGTGCTTGTATGGTTTTGCTAACGTGCGCTCCGTAGAGGTTGTAAGATTTTGTATTGCACCATATGCCAGCCGACGTGTAATGAACAGCATTAGCGGGTATGTTTGAACTGTTTACAAGAGGTGGGCATGTCGGTGTTTATCTCGCCGCTGGTTCTGCGGTGGGAGAAGAACGCCGCTGCTATGAATTTTGGAACACTGACAGAGATTGAAATTTTATATCGCTAATCACCGTCATATAGTCGTACATTCGATTGGCTACTTTAAATAGGGTTTGCCAAGGGCAATGCTCTGCAGCTGGAATAGTCACTGCTAGTCCCGTTGGCGATTTGTTATTGCACAGAAAACCTTCCTCGTTGGCCACTAGTTTTGTAGTATATAGATAGCTGCGCGTGATGAAACACGTTTTGGCATTTGGGGGTGTCTGTTCGCTCACGCTAAGGCTCGCTAGACAGGTTTGTGAGCAGCAACGCATGTCTTGGTTCCCGGGTAGTGCTGCGTTGCCTCCGGTGCATGGCTACAAGGCACACAACAAAGGCCAACAATGCGGGGATAGTGCGTACCACAGCCTGCAGCTGACCGTTCGTTCGTCCGCAAAATGCTCAAGTAGTTGTAATTATTTGGCACTAAAGGATTCCATCCGGATAGATCTATATAGTTTGCAACTCCATGTGATGCGCCGCTTTGTGAGCATTCATGTTTTAGTGTGGAGCTGTGCGCCCATCATGGATCATGTTGTTTTCTAACTTGGGCATGTTTCTAAGCGTACGGTGGAGGGAGGTTTGTTGATGTGCGGAATTAGGTGAAGCCCGAGCTGTGGCAGCTACCGCACAGGCAAACAACGCAAGAACGGTGTGCTATATGCTTTGTCTGCGGTTATTCATTCGGCATGCCAGAAAGTGCGCAGATAGTTGGAATTACGGGGCACTGGCAGAGACTAAAGCATGGATGCACGCATCCATCCATCATGCAAGCAGCATGCACGCCTCACGCAGGTACTCACACGCATTTTGGTCCTGAAATCAATGAACAACATAATTTTGCTTGAACTAATATATACAGATATACATATATATAGTTATTACATAGCTCAGGTACAGATTCCTTTTCCTTAAAAGATGCTGACACACTATTTATCCCGTGCTGAGGACATTAACTGCACGATGGATAGGCCGTGTGTCAGCACACACGGCCTATCCATCGTGCAGTTAATGTCCTCAGCACGGGACAAATATTGTTGGTGCTACTAATAATAATCACATTTGAATAAGATAAATTAGCGGGGAACTGAATACAGCACCGGAGAGAAATAGAGGAAAACAGATAAACGCACACTGAATAAACAAGGCAAATGAGCAGGTGTGCAGAAGAGCAAAGGAACCAACAACGAACCACGCAAACAAACTCACAAACACACAATCAAACAATCAATTAAATAGGCAAGAAAACGAATAAGTAGATAATCAACTAGGCGCGTTTGACCTATCAACCAACTAGGCAAGCAAGCAAAGGCAATTAAAAACGATAAAATAAATGTAGCTCTAATAATCACTGTCCCTCCCTCAACGAATCTATCCTGCGATTAGTATTCGTGAACCAACTTAACCGAATGGTTAAAACGGGCGAAACCTGACTCCTGCAACTGATAAGCATATCCTTAACGGAGGCGAGAAGCAAGCTAACTTAAACATATGAACAAACCAAAATCAATCCAACTGACAAAAATTTAAAAGTACAACATCTCACACTCTCGCCACTCCACTTCAAGGCTCAGAAACTGCACTAGTTGCGTATGCGGCTGCACCGGCTGCTGCTGCTGTGCATCCAGCTCCATTATCTGCACCCACGGAGTGGTAATAAGTAACTCTACAGCCTTGTCGATTTTTTGCTGCGGGATATTGAATGCCAACTGCTGCTGCACCTCCTCTTCATCTTCTTCTCGATGCTTCTGTGGGCAGGACTGATCTTCTGGGGGCAGCGACAGCAAAAACGAGTATAACTGCTCCGCCGCCACCACCCTCAACTTCGGGAACCTGCAAATCAGCCACAATAGCGAAGGCAGCACGATTCTCAGCAGGAGCAGAAGCACCACTATTAGAGACAGCAGCAGACGCCGCAACAACAGCGTCAAAAGGGGATGCACATAATTCGAGTTAACAGCTATTTCATAGAACAGCCCGAACTGTTTGGAAATGGTTAGATAGCGTACGGGTGCCTCAAAAAGTTGATGACTATGCATGCGCTCACGCGCTGCGCGTGCGCTGCTGCTGCTGCTGCTTCTGCTGATGGGGTGGTACAGGTCGTCGCAGCAGCAAGTGAAACCGCCAAAATACACGTGCGCCGGAGCATGTCGAAGTTCCGCGTGCTTCTACTGCTGCTACTGCTTTTGCCTTTGTGACACCCCACCATGTGCCGTAGTGCCTGCAACAGCCGCGGCACTGCAGCAGCAGCGGCAGCAGCAGCACAACAAAAACAAAAACAGCACACCAGTTTGAATATGCATCAGCACACCTAGTGCATGCTTCTCCAGCTGCAGCACTTCAAATACGGATACGCACATAGGGATTGCATGCATTTCTTCACTGTTCGTCTCACTGTCTATAGCTGCAACGAAGTTGTTTTGCAGCAGCAAAGCGCATGCAGATGTTGCTGCCTCCCGTAGCTTCCTCCTATACTCGGCGTGGCCAGCCTTCGCTGTTGGTCCTGATGATGCCGCCGCTGCCGTTTCCGTTGCTGCTGAGTTGCTAGGCTGCTCCCATGTACTGAGCAGCACGTCTACCAGCGCACTGCCGACGTCAGCAACCGTCCCTTGCTCCTTTGTACCCCGCCCCTGCTGGTGGTGATGATGCAGTTGTTGCTGTTCCTGCTCTTTCCGTGCCCGCCACGCCTCTGCTAGCAACGCCGTATATGTTGCCTTATCGTCTCCAATTACAATACTCCGTTGATGCTGCGGCTGCTGCTGCTCCATGCGAGCTGCCAGCAGGAGAGCGCTGAAAGCCCCCCCCTGTATGCTGGCAGCTGCGCTACCGAGAGAAGCGCCGAGGCCCAGCGCAGCTCCTGAAGCAGCGGCAGCAGCAAATTGTCGGAGCAGCAGCAGCGGTGTAATGTGCCTGTACACCTGGAATGCATCGCAGAATACTTGCAAGCGGAGAGCTGTTGCTGCCTTGTGAGTACGCTGTAGAGCCGCAACACCACCCTCCACAAACGACCGCGCAATGGCCTCTTCCTTCCCGCTTCTGCTCATGCTGTTGGTGTCCTGCTGCAGCTGCTGCACCGGCGGAAGAAACGAGAGCTGCTGCTGAGCAAACGGCTCCTCTGACCGCCCTTCGTCCAGCTGCTGCTGCCTCAGCTGCAGCAAACCGAAGGCGTGCTGAAGCAGCGGCATTGCTGACGGCACAAACGGAGACATCAAACACCTGCTGCTGTTGCTATTGCTTTCGCCGATGCCACTATTCTTGCCGCAGGAAGTACAGCAGCAGCGCGGGTCGAGGTGGTTGGGAGCAGCAGCCGCAGCCGCTACAGCAGCAGCGTCCACATGCGGCTGCGCGGCGAACTCGTAAGCAACTTCATACAAAACACGATGCCATATCCACCGAGCCTAAGATCAAAAAAAAACCGCGAAAAATTAGCACAACAAATATATGTGATTGAATAGTCAAGAACGTTAGTATAATTAGCTCGAGGAATAAATGCAGCTGATTAAAAAAATCACACGCGAGGAACTCAAGCAAGCAAGCGAAGACATCGGCGGACCCAACAACAGAACCAGCAGCAGCGAGAGCAGCAGCAGCAATAACAAACAAGTGCGTTGGCAACGGTAGCAGGAGCAGGACATATCTGCAGACGTTGCTGCAGAAGCATGTACTTTGAACATTTGCGCTGCTGTTGCTGCAGCTGCCCGTGGAGCGAGGAGACGGCTGAGAAGAAATGCAGCTCTGCTTCGCGTCCGCGTGAGGCTCTCCAAGGACAGCCGCAGCAGCAACTGCAGCAGCTGCTGCCGTTGTCGCAGGTTCGGCCCAACCGCAGCAGGCGGCTCCTCCTGTTCCCCAGCCAATTGCTGCTCAACAGTGGCAACAGTACCATCGCTTCTCCTGCTGTTGCCGTTGCTGGTTCTCATGCAACAACAGCAAGGGAATGATTCTAAAATGAGCGCTGCAACCTCAGCAGCAACCTCCCGAACCCAGCTGCCTACGTCTCCCCTCTGATCAACGGAATAATCCGCAGCGCACGCCTCCAAACAGCTCACAATGGCTTCCCAATCGACAATCGCTGCAGCTAATACTGCATCTCGAGCTGCTGCTGCTGTGGTGGCACCTGAATCTTGCTGTGCTGATTCAGCTGCTGTTGCTTCAGCTGCTGCATGCGCTGGGGAAACTGCTTCTATCAGGGAGGAAAGGCATAACAAGGCATTTCGTCTGGTGTTTGGATCATTCAAAGATGGACACCCTAAAGGAGCCAGAGCCGTTGCTTCCTGAAGCAGAACAGTCAACAGCTGCTGCCTCCTTCTGTTCTTCTGTCCGTCCCCTGTGCCGTTTCCTTCCTGCTGCTGCGCTACCTGCTGTTGATGCAGTTCCAGTCGAAAGACAGGAGCAGGCAGCGCAGCCAGAGCAAGGAGGAATCCGCTGCGGGCAGCGACGTTTTGCTGCTGCTGCTCCAATAGCAGCAGCAGCTTGGGCAAGATTTGCTGCAGCACCTCCTGAGGCAGCATGCGGTGCAGGAGCAGAGCACGGATGGATTCTGCTGCTGCGTACTGAACAGAGGTAGCAAAAGACTTGAGGCTGTCGAAACAAGAGTCCAAGTATCTGTTGCAAGTCGCCGATCGAAAGGCCCACGAGCTGTTTGCTGCTGCACTCACATACGCACCAGAAGCAGCACCAAAGAACACGATGCATAGCTACGAAACGCCTGCCTCCGCTGCTTCTCCTACTCAGTATAATTAGAAAATTATCAATACTGCCGTTACGTCTGCCGTGACAGCTGCCGCTGTCAGGCGTGCTGGTCATTCTACTGCTACCCCTGTGTTGGTGTTGCTGTTGTTACTGCCGAGCTGATGTAGTTGCTGCTACAGCTAATGCTGCTGATGAGCGGCCGTGCCCCCACCAATGGATGTCATGAAGCTGCAGGCTGCTTCCCTCAAGAGGTCTCCCCCTCTCCTTCTGTAGGGCCGTTGTTTTTCAAAGACAACAAGGCTGTTCCGTACTTGCTGTTGTACACATGTATCCACTATCCCTGCTGCTGCTGCTGCAGCTACTGCTGCGGGGGAAACTCTGGTCGTATCTGTGCCGCCGCCTTCCCCGCCTAGCTCTGCAGTAACGCCTGCCACAGGTTGGGTTGCTGCTGCACGCCCCGCAGCAGCTGCTGCTGCATGGGAAGCAGCAGGACTCGGTGCTGCTGCCAATACTTCCACAAGGGAGGCGAGCAGCAGGTAGGCACCGTGCAACTCTTCAAGAAAGGCGCTCGGCTGCTGCAGCCTCTGGAGCTGCAGCGGCAGCAGCACCTGCAGCAGAAATCCATCGGCGGCACAACACACGGAAACAAATGAAAATAGAAATCCATTCCATTGGCAAACGCAGACGAAGACGGTGCACTGCAAGCTGCTTTACGGCAACGCCCTGCTGCTGCTGCTGCTGCAAGCCGTCTTTGTCCCCTGAATGAAAGACATACCGATGCCGCATACGGTTTTGCGAAGGGAATGATCCGCGCAGCTGCGGCAGCAGCCAGTTGCCTCATTTGTGGGTCGGGGTGCCTGTACACCCGGCAGCATAAATACTCCAGTAGAACTATAGACAGAGGCTGTTCCTTCTGCTGTTGCTGCTGTTGATGGTCCATTAGCTGAGGCTCGAGAGCAGCAATGGCAGGAGCCGCTGTCAGGAAACTGCTGCGTCTACTGCCGACAGTGAAATAGTCCGCGATGGTAATAATACTGAGGCCCTGCTGTAGCTGTCCTTGTCTTCCTTCGATCTCTTGAAATGCTGCAGCAGCAGCACGACGAATGCTGATGGAATCATCGAACAGCAGAGCAAGTAGCAGATGCCGCCCCAGGCATCGTCGCAGGTGCAAGTCTGCTGATGCTGCTGAGTATGAGCGGGCAAACGCCCACGCCCCGTAGCAAGCAGCATCCCTGACGCATGCACCCGAAGCACTGCTGCTACTACTGACTCGACCAGCGTACAGAACGCCCCGGCATAAGAAACGAAGCGCCCGCGGCAGCTGTTGCTGTTGCACTGCCCCCAGCCGTAGCAACTCTGCAATCGCGAGGCATGTGCCGCTTAATAGCCTTTCTCCAGCAGCCGATGAAGCCCCTGATATATTCTCCCTCCACAAACTGTCATTGCTCGTTGTTGCCGTCCCCTCTCGTGCTACTGCTACTGCTGTTCCTGTTTCTTCGCCCGCTGGACCGCTCGCTGCATTCGGCAACAGCGGCAGGGTCTCTGCCTCAAAGTTCTGAAGCACTGCACAGCAAACCTGAACAGCCCCACCACAGAAAACGCTCAAGTTATACTAGATCCTGCGACGACGCAGGGTTAGCAGGCGCAAGTGATGCTGATAGTGCTGCTGCATATTCTGCGAGTGTTCCTGCTCCTAATGCTATAGGGGTTTTTCGGCCACCGCTGCTGTGCATTAAGCTGCAATGAGGCTCCTGAAATGTTACTGCTCCAACAGTGTTGCTGCACCGACAATCCTGCAGCAGCAGCAGCTCTGCCGAAGCAGTGCTATTGTAGCGTCTCTGGCTTTTGCTGCTGCTGCCGCCTCTGACCTGCTCAGCAAATTCTTTCGGAAGCGCCAGAGATACCCTCCCGAGGCCCTTTGCTGCTGTCCAACGAACTCGGCTGTCGGAGTCGGCGAGGCGTTGAAGAGCAAGGGAAACGAATACCTCGACCGCTGCCGCAGCCTCTTCGGAAATGCCTGCTGCTTCTTGGTCGTCTTCCTCTTGTTCCTGCTGCTCATGGTGCTTCTTCGGCTGCTGAAGCAGCAATTCAAGAGAGCGGGCGTTTACGCAGTAGCGCCATCTGGCCTGCCGGATTGGCAACAGCAGCAGTGCGACGCGAGCTGCACAAGAAAGCTGATGCTTGCGGAACAGAGCGGATGCCACCAGCTGCTCCTGTTGCTGTTGCTGTTGCGCCGAGACAAGCCGCTGGATTCTGGGAAGCAGTGGGGCTGCATCTTCTGAGCGAAGTATTTTTAGCACCTTTTGCAGGGCCGCGAATGCTGCGAAGAACAAAGCAAAAGCTAGTCAAAAGAGAACAAAGTTGGTGATTCAAGCAGCATCCAGGAGACACACAAGAAGACTAATAATTCAATAAGCAGCGGCAGACCCCTTAATGTTTCTTGTGAGTATTTTTATTCAACTTGCCGTTAGTTTGCTCGCTACCAAACAGGCTACACGCCCCCTCGTGCCGCTGCTGCTGCGGCGGCAGTTCTTGCTGCTGGTCAAGGCTCCACAGTTTGAGCTCGCAGTGGCGAAGGAAGGTTCGTAAAAGAAGCTGCTCTTGCTGATGTGTGTCTGGCCTTCGGAAAAGGGACTGCAGCAGTAGCGCAGCAGCATCAGCTGCCTTAGAATCTTGAGAGAAGCTGCAAAGAGCCAAATGCAGTAGTCTCCAGCCTAAAGGTGCATCTGCTGCTCCAGCCAGCTCCAACTGCTGCTCTTCCTCTCGCTGCTGGAGCCCCTGATTCCACTGTTGCTGGGTGTGCAGCTGTGGTTGCTGCTGGTTTGTATTGCTGTTGGAGTCTAGAGACAACAAACTGAAGGGTGCCAGCACCAGGAGCGAAAGCCAAGCGAAGAGCGCAAAGACAGAACTCCACAGCGGTGCGCTGTTCAGACAAACTGCAACAGCAGCTGCTTCTGCCCTTGCTTCTGCAGTTCCTGCTGAATCTTGTGCCATCCCTGCAGATGATGCGTCGTCACTTCCACGGTTATGTTGTTGCTGCTGCAGGGCATATGCAGCCGCCAACACCTGCTCCAGCAGCTCGGGTTCTTGCGGCAACAATGATCGAATTTCTTTAGTTCCCCTCACCTTGCAGTGCACGTACACCAGGTGCAGCAGCATGCGGACACAACAGCAAGACACTGCTGCTTGCCATCCACGACGCGCAGGCTTGCTCTGTTGTTGTTGCTGATGCTGTGTAAGTAGGGACAAGTGACGCCTGATGGGCTGGACAAGGAGGTCCAACTGCTGAGGGAGATAAGGGTCTAGAAGCTGAGGCTGCTCCTGATACCGCTCAAGTGTATGGACAACCGCTGCAGCGGTGCTGGAAAACCGCTGCAGCCACAAGTCCACACTCAGCACCGTTAAATGCTCCACCTGTGCTGCTCCTGTCCCTACCACGGCTGTTGCTTGTGTTGCTTGTATGTCGGCCGTGGAGGCCGTGGAACCCGTAAAGCCATTTGCATGGAGGGTAGTGGCTCTCACTGGGGCTGCTGTGGCTGGTGTTGGTGCACGCTGTGTTACTGGTGATGATGGTGCTGGAGGTGTTGTTTCCTCTGACGTGGCATCTTCAGCAACAAGTACTGCTGCCTCATGCGTAAGGTTGGAAAGGGTATGCAGCTGTTGCAGCACGACTTCGGCTTCTTTGAAGAAGAAGGTTTCGCACCGTGCAGCATCATCTTGGGTGGCTGCTTCTGCTGGTGGTGCTGGGAGACTTCCTTCTTCCTGTGCCACTGAGCCCTTCACAACGTTCTGGGTGCTCTCATCAGGCCCGAAGGCCCGTTGAGGCAAGAAAACAGGCAGGGCGTCCATCTGCCTCTACACATCGAGCTGCGGAGGCACCACCTTTGTTTTAATCTCAAGGTAGGAGAGGTTCAAATAAGCTTAATGCGCTTCGTTGACCAGAACAAAGACGCAAAGCCAGCACAGAGGAGCATGTGCAGACCCGCGGGCTCTCCCCTCCCTCCACGTCATTGCACCGAAGGATTTGGCAAAATGAACACAAATAGTGTGTACCTGAAAGTAAATCTCAACAATCTGTAATTAAATTAGGTCAGTAAAATTCAGTCTTCTCGTTCCTTTAGGTTTTCCCGTTGCTGTGACCCGCAGACATAAACTGTCGGCCCAAGACAACGGGCCCCGGTGTCACGCGTTTTTTCGTGCTCGTCTTTATCTATTGTTTTTCTAAAAGAACTTGAAATTTTCTTTCTGTTGCCTTTCTCGGTAAATTTGCTTTGTTTCTTTTGCCTCTGTAGCTCAGCTTTAGGGTTCTGCCGCTGCGACAGAGTTGCAGTTTGGGAGTCTGCGCATGCTACATAATGTCCGAAGTAGGAAAGTATGAATCGAGTTGGCACACACACTCCTGCTCGGACTTAGTAGGCAGCCTACAGGCAGATAGGTAACATGCACGCAGGAATAGGCTTTCAACAATTCTCTACAATATTCCTGCTCGCCGCAGAGTAGATTCTGTTCTGCTTGCATGTAGTGCACCCTTGCGCAATGCGTTGCACCCGGGTACGTTGCCGGTCATGTCAGACCAACTTTCCCCTCTCAGCTTAAGGGGGTTCTGCAGCTCTGCGTATGATGGGGAGTATAGCCCCGCATGTCCGCTTGTGGAATGCCTGCCGGCGGCCAGTAAATTGACCATAATATAGCATAGTCTCTGTGATGTTGGCAAATGAAGTGAAAGACGAACCCTTATCCACCCCTAGTCCGCGGACAGTACACAAACAAATGTTCCCAGCAACTGTCCACAGTGTTTGTGCATACAGATTGCCTATAGACAGAATGCAGTATGCACTCGCTTTTCAGGGATCCTAGCACGCCAGTGGAGCAGCAGGAGCTGCTGCAGCGGTAGGTTGTGGGGTGGCCTCGTCTGGTGGAAATGAAACGGATGCAGCAGCAACAGCATTGGCAACAGCAGTAGCAGCAGCAGTGTCTGCTGCTGCACTAGGTGCTGGGTGCGCGCCTTCAATACGTTGCCCGTCCTCCCCGCATAAGTCCGCAGCAGCTGGTGCTGCACATGTTTGCGTCTGCTGCGAGAGCAGCAAGACCTGTATGTGCTACTGAGGGGACCCAGATGCCATCCCCATCTCTCTAGGACCGAGCCAAAGCAGCCGTAGCATAGGGGATGCAGCATTTGCGGCACCAGCCGGCGCGCGCAAGTGGAAGTGACGGTAGCACGGATGATACAGATACTCATGAACAACCAGTGAATAACTGGCACCAGGAATCCGAGGTTATCTCTTTACAGTCGAAGTCCACAGAAGCACGCCATGCCGCCTGCCGCCGCCGCCACTGATGCAGTTCTTGGGTGGGGCCCTCCTTTACGTATTTGGCCTGTCTCCATTGCAGACAATTCCGAGGCTGGTAGTGTTGGCTCCGTTCGAAAACTGCGGTGACTTCCGGGAGGAGCAGCCTTTCGAACACAGCATGGAGCCGCAGCTGGCCATGGTAGCGGTGCTGGTGTTGAAGGCTCTTTGCGGGCCGCAGCTGTTTCAGGCAACAGCATGCCGTCGCCTCATCTGAACTAACCGGCGCAAACTTCAGAGATAGTCAAGGGTGTCTAAGAGGCCCAGTCGCCGTCTCCCATAATGCCCCGCCTTGCGTGGCTAAGTGCTTGAAGAAGTGCAGCGCCACTGCGTCGGGCTGCGTATGAGGGGTGAGGAAGGGAGATTGCACGCGTCTACTCAGTGATGGGTGACGCTTTGGCGCCGTATAAATATCTACATCTCTGCAGTGTATAAGGAACTCCGGATGCCCTCGTCGCCGTATACTGATGCGCGAATGCAAAGGAACGTGCTTGCAACACCACACCACTTCCTCTTATTGCTTGACTGCAATGCATGCTGTGAGTGTGCGCTGGCGCCTTAGCAGAACACAGGTTTTGTGAGCGGCTATTTTTTCGGGTGTTCGGCAATGCAGGCAAGAGGACCTGCCATGTGCAGCCGCAGTGCTGCCTTAATGCGTTAACGGATGCGGGGCGATTGATGCTTATGGACCAAAACGGCAGAACTCTTCGAGTAAAGCTCTACGCTACACAAGGGGGTACCCCGGAGGGTCAGAGGGACAATTTTTTTAGGATGAATAGAGAGAGCTGCAGGGGCATATGGCAGAGGCTGCACGGACAGAACCGGAAGGGATGTTTGTGTGGTCTTGCAGAGAATGCTGCAAGAGAATTTGTTTTAGCATATAGTACGGACTTAGAAAAGGCATTACGTTTGGGTAAATTTGGGCAAACGCTTTCCTGTATTTCGGCTTGTTCAGAAGGCAGTCCTCCTTGCACCAGACGGCGAAATATACACTGAAGGAAAGGAGTTGCTCATCTACTCCAGTCCAAATGACAACTGTTACCTACTGTACACGTGAAAGGAAGCCACTGTACCTGTGTGGGCCCACTTCTCTTCTACGGATCTAAGCTCCATATAGTTGTAAGCTCGGTTGCTTCTGCTGCCGCCTTGGGGCTTGATCAGTGCATAATCTAAGGCATGGGCTTGCAAGTGTAGACAACAAGCATTGCGTTGTTGCTGTAACGTCGCGTGCTTACGATGCTGTGAATATTGTATGCAGAGCCTGTGGTGCTAGGGCCCAGTCTGCCTCACTAGGAATGCGAACAAATACGAACCATGCGCACGACTTCATCAGTGGAACCGTCGGAGGGCAAGTTCAATTCTCCCCTAGCGCGAAGCGCTCAGGACAGGGACACCATTGGTACTACTCCACCGTTGGATGAATATGTGAGATCGCGCAGGAGGCCTACAGGCGGGACCCCCCGCACCGAGCGTGCCCCTGTCCGCACGCCTGCTACATCCGCATGGCGACCAAATCACGACCGCAGCAACTGCGTTTCGCATGGCCAGAAACAACAATTGAGATGGTAGGAGGAGAGTTTACGTTGTCGCCGAGGGGGCGCGAGGTTAGCCTGTACTCCAGCATCCGCGTGGAAAGAAAAAAACCCGGCACCCTCACTCCGGGGACTCCACGAGTGTTGCAGGAGCAAGCCTTCAGGCACATACTACTGGAAGCCTGAGGGTAAAACTTGACGAAACGAGGGAGTAAAGCACAATCTTCGTTACTAATTTGTGTGCTCTCCGCGTGACGACAAACCGGGATTATGCTCGGCTTTCAAGTTGCTCTCCCCTTTCGTACGCTATGTAATATTCGCACTTCTTTTGTTGCGTTTCTTCGTCAAGGACTTCAAAAGCAAACTCTCCCGCGTTAGCCTTCAAGGGGCACGTAGGGAAGTGAGCTATTTGCCTCCATAGGATCCGTAGTGGCCACTGGTCGACGGGCAAAAAGGCTCGCCGATATGCGGAGTTACCTTTGAGGCACAGGACGGGAGTGCCTATGTACTTTAATATTTTCAATACTTCTTCATTTGTTGGGCTGGGCAACCAGCCTGTGGCTGGGTACTGAAGTGGGAATCCCACTGTGGATGCACTTCTACACGCTATAAGCAGGCGGAGTGTAGTGTGCATTACACGGAGCCACTCATCGCCAGCAGTGGCGGGGGAGCATTTGCAGCTTTCCGTAGTGAAGCCTCTCATGCGTTTTCTGATGTGAACCCTATAATCTTTGTATTTGCGTGCGTGCTAGCAGTGGCCTGCGCATTTGTTCGTTTCTATTTCACCCTCGCTCACTGGTGCCGAATCGTTGCTTCTCTTGCTCCTGTGAACAATAATTATCCTGCCCTACGTTTTTAGCACAGCCTAGCCAGGGGTGACGTTTCTGCGGAAACAATTGTGGACAAGCAGTTCCATGCTTTGCATATGTGGCGGTGAGTTCACGGTACCTGATGAGCGAGGACAGGGTCCAAGCTCCACGGACCTTGCAAATTTGGCTAAGCTTCATGTTCTTGTTCCAGCCCGTCAATGCACTTGCAAACCCCGACTGTGTTTTGCGGTGTTGACAGTCATGAACCATTCCGCGGGCGGGCTAGCTGACAGGATGAGCTTCACGTTGCGGCAGCTGTGTGTTTTGTGCGTTAGGCTGTATGTATACGGAACGGGAAGATACGCCCAGGCGCAGTGGCTGGTGACACGCCCCCATATCTCCATTAATGGCGATTCTTCGGCCAACGTTGGATCCTCTTTGCACGATGCGACATCCTGATGCCATGCATCTAATTGTGTTGCCGTTTCGATTAAGCTTCGCCTTGTGGGATTGCGAAGGTCCTTGTCTGTGCTTGTCGGGTTGCGTAAACTCTGGAAAACACACAAACTCCACAAGCATATATGGGACAACTGCCACTTAACTCTGGAGGTGGCGATTGCATTGCCCTTGCGGATGTGAAACCGCCCCATTTGCAGCACACATGAAGTGGGAAGGAAAGTCATTCACTGAATGCGGGAGGAACAAACTACAACAGGCCTCAGCACGGCATGACAGAAGCAGATGAAAAACAATGAACTGCCAAAACAAGATCAGCACGTTGACAGGAACACGGCACACACGAAGAGTAAAGGGCACGCAACATGACCGGCATGCTTGCTCCCTAGTCATTTTGCGAAGTGGCGCCAAACAAAGTAGCGGTTATGATACTCCCGAGCCTCCTGAAGTTCCTGGTTAAGTCTCAACTTCCTGGTTAGGTATAGGGCAATATAAAGGCAGATTAAGGTATATTAATAAGATTCAGCCGAGCACCTGTGCAAAGCCACTTCGTACCATTTTATGGTGCACTGCGCGTCTTGCGGCACCGTCTCGGCATGACCAGAGATACTGATAAAAAAACGGAACGCTTGAGGTAGTATCGAGCAGCTTCGCCAGCAGAGGTGTGCACCAACCTAGTCACTTCCTAGGCTGCCACATCATACAGCAACCAGAGCTGTATGTCCATTCGGCGAATGCCTCGACCGCTGCCGCAGCCTCTACGGAAATGCCTGCTGCCTCTTGGTCGTCTTCCTCTTGTTCCTGCTGCTCATGGTGCTTCTTCGGCTGCTGAAGCAGCAATTCAAGAGAGCGGGCGTTTATGCAGTAGTGCCATCTGGCCTGCCCGACTGGCAGCAGCAGCAGTGCGGCGCGAGCTGCACAAGAAAGCTGATGCTTGCGCAACTGAGCGGAGGCCACCAGCTGCTCCTGTTGCGGTTGCTGTCGCGCGGAGACAAGCCGCTGGATTCCGAAGCAGCAAGACTATATCTGCTGATCAAAGTATTCTTTTTGCAGGGCCGCGAACGCTGCGAAGAACAAAACAGAAGGGAGTCAAAAGAAGACAAAGTTGACGATGTACGCAGCATCCAGTAGACACACAAGAGGACTAATAATTTAATAACCACTGGCAGACCCCTTAGTGTTTCTTGTGAGTGTTTTCATTCAGCTTGCCGTTAGTTCGCTCGCTACCAAACAGGCTACATGCCCCCTCGTGCCGCTGCTGCTGCGGCGGCAGTTCTTGTTGCTGGCCAAGGCTCCACAGTTCGAGCTCGTAGTAGCGAAGGAAGGTTCGTAAAAAAAGTTGTTCCTGCTGATGTGTGTCTGGCATTAGGAAAAGGGACTGCAGCAGCAGCGCAGCAGCATCCGCTGCCTTAGAATCTTGGGCGAAGCTGCAAAGAGCCAAATGCAGCAGTCTCCATCCTAAAGGTGCATCTGCTGCTCCAGCCAGCTCCAACTGCTGTTCTTCCTCTTGCTGCTGGAGCTGCTGCTTCCACTGTTGCTGCTTGTGCTGCTGCCCTCTTGTGTTGCTGTTGGAGTCTAGAGACGACAAACTGAGGGGAGCCAGCAGGAGAAGCGAAAGCCAGGCGAAGAGCGTAAAGACAGAACTCCAGAGCGGTGTGCACTTCAGACAAACTGCAGCTGCTGCTGCTTCTGCTCTTGCTTCTGCTGTTCATCCTGCATCTTGTGCCATCCCTGCAGATGATGCGTCGTCACTTCCACGCTGCTGCAGGGCATGCTCGCAGCCGACAATACCTGCTCCAGCAGCTCGGGCTCTTGCGGCAACAATGATCGAATTTCTTTAGTTCCCCTCACCTTGCAGTGTACGTACACCAGGTGCAGCAGCATGCGGACACAACAGCAAGACACTGCTGCTTGCCATCCACGACCCACATGCTTGCTCTGTTGTTGGTGCTGCTGCTGCGCAAGTAGCGACAAGTGGCACCTGATGGGCTGGACAAGGAGGTCCAACCGCTGAGGGAGATAAGGGTCTAGAAGCTGAGGCTGCTCCTGATACCGCTCAAGTGTATGGACAACCGCTGCAGCGGTGCTGGGAAAGCGCTGCAGCCACAAGTTCACACTGAACACCGTTAAATGCTCCACCTGTGCTGCTCCTGTCCCTGCCACGGCTGTTGCTTGTGTTGCTTGTGCGTCCGCTGTGCAAGCCGTAAAGCCATTTGCATGCAGGGTAGTGGCTCTTGCTGGTGCTGCTGGTGCTGGTGCTGCTGTGGCTGTGGCACGCTGAGTTACTGGTGATGACGGTGTTCGAGGTGTTGTTCCCTCTGACGTGGAATCTTCAGCAACAAGTGCTGCTGCCTTATGCGTAAAGTTGGAAAGGGTATGCAGCTGTTGCAGCACGACTTCAGCTTCGGTGAAGAAGAAGGTTTCGCATCGTGCAGTGTCATCTTGGGTTGTTGCTTCTGCTACTGGTGGCGGCGATGGAAGAGATCCTTCTTCTTGTGCCACTGAGCCCTTCAGAAAGTTCCGGGTGCCACTGAGCCCTTCAGAAAGTTCTGGGGGCTCCCATCGGGCCCCAAGACCCGTTGAGGCAAGAAAACAGGCAGGGCGTCCCTCTGCCTCTACACATCGAGTTGCGCTGGCACCAAGTCTGTTTTGCTGTTCCTTTTCGCTATCAAGGTAGGAGGGCTTCAAATAGGCTTAATGCGATTCGTTGACAAGAAGAAAGGAGCAAAGCCTGCACAGAGGATATGCAGATCCGTGGGCTCCCTCCACCCTCCGCATCATTGCAACAGGAGATTCAGCAAGTTGACCACAAATAGTGTGTACCTGAAAGTAAATCTCAACAACCTGTAATTAGATCAAGTCAGTAAGATTCAGTCTTCTCATTCCTTTGGGTTTTCTGGTTGCTTGGGGCGCACAGGCAAAACCTGTCGGCCCAAGACAACGGGCCCCAGTGTCATGCGTCTCTTCGTGCTCGTCTTTACCTATTGCGTTTGTAGAGGAACTTGAAATTTTCTTTCTGCTGCATTTCCCGGTAATTTGCTCTGTTTTTTCTGCCTCTGTAGCTAAGCTTTAAGGTTTTGCCGCTGCGGCGTAGTTCCAGTGTGATAATCTGTGCATGCTACGTAATCTCCGAAGTAGGAAAGTATGAACCGAGGTGGCATACACACTCCTGGTCTGCCTTAATAGGCAGCCTATAGGCAAATAGAAAACATGCGCGCAGGAATAGGTCTTCAACAATTCTCCACAATATTCGTGCACGCCGCAGAGGAAATTGTGCCCTGCTTGCACGTAGTGCATGCACCCTTGGGTAATGCGTTGCACCCTGGTACGTTGCCGATCATGTCAGGCCAACTCCCCTCTCCCAGCTTAGGGGGGTTCTGCAGCTCTGCGTATGGTGGGGAGTATAGCCCCGCATGGCCGCTTGTGGAATGCCTGCCAGCTGCTAGTAAATCGACAATAATATATCGTAGTGTTTGCAATATTGGCAATTGAAGTGGAAGACGAACCCTCACCCGGCCCTTGTCCGCGGACAGTACACAAAAAAATGTCCCCAGCAACTATCCACAGTGTTTGTGCATAAGAGGACTCGTTTGCGTTTGCATGTGGGGCAGTCCTGCACCTTGAGTTTGGGTGAAGTGCACTGCAACTCATGGTACGGTGCCTCCCGTCCCAAATATCCAGGCGGTTAAACCGGTGAGCTCAGGACTCCACGAAACTGGTGAACGGGGTCAGCGGCAGTTAAGGAATTTACATCGTATGTATTCGTGCTCCACTGCAGCTCACAGCAGTCCTGAAATAAGATTCAGGACCCGCATCACACTTGGCAGCATCGCATTGCTCACGGGGTCTAGGTGATAAGAACGAACCTCCCCCACACAGCGAGGGGATTGGCTACATGAATAGGCCTGGGTAGTACCGACGCCGTTTTGAAAAGGTGCATGTGTACAAAAAGATTTCCCTCGAACACATTCAAAACGTCTCTCAAATCTCAACCTTTTAATCCTCCTGTTGAATTCAATCAAGCTCAATATCTGTATCCAAGGCAACAGAAACCGTTCTTACAGCACACAGAGCTCTTGATTAATGCCTCCATCTTCTGTCATGACGGTCCCCTCGATGTAAGGGCAGTGGAGGAGTTTCTTTTATCCCTTGCGTCATATTTTGGTCTCCAACCAGCATGTGAACTACAGTTACCACATACACGTTTTTATTAGACAGGGAAGTGTGACCATGGTGATTCCGTCTACACAAGGTTACAGTTTTCATGGAGCGCATCCAGGCTATGCACGGTAGGCGGCTTGCGCCGCGATGTAACCACTGCCAAAACCGTGCCTTCAGCTGACCCGGGAAGCAACTTGCTGACTCGATGTGGGAGCCAGTCCTGCATGGTAGTACGGAAGGCATGGCTGCAGACTAGCCTGTCTGATGTTGGCTTTCTCTGCCTGAAGCAGGAGCAAGAACCTAGTAGACGAACGGTACTCAAGGGAAACGTTCTCAACCACTGTCTACGATCTTTGAGGATACAGCAAAGAACTCTGGTGTGTGTTTGTTTGTGTGGCTGTCATGCCTTGACTTGCAGTAAGATGCGTTGTAACTCCTGGCATGCCGGCATCGCTCCCCAAACTCCAGACGGCGAAGGCGCTCAACTCAGGACGCCTGGGGACAGGAAAGGGATGCCATCTTCTTCTAAGGAACCTTTGTCTCAAGTATTTTGGATCCATAATAATTATCCCTGGGGAATGTTCAGGACCTGCGTCTCTCATGTTTGTTGACGCAGGGGCAAATACTCCCGTTTTGCTGCTCAATTTTGTAGAATTTCGTTTGCGTACCGGCTGCCTACCATTGCTGTGTAAGGGTTCATATCCTACCTTTAGACATCCTTGCAAGCGTTGCGCAGCGTTTGCTGGAGCCATTGTTTGCAATGGACCACTGCATTTTCATGCACTGGTGACGATTCAGCGTTTTCTGATTTCTTCTACCACCTCTATATCGGTTGTTTATCAACAAACTCAGGGCAGCATGTGACAACTTCCTGTGACACTGAATCAGGCTGAGCCTGCACAGAGTGTTGCATGCACAGGGGCAGGCTCGCAGGTTTGTTCTGTGCAGCCATCTAATAATGGGCACGCCCTGGCTAAACCGCATTCATTCCATTTGGCATTTCAGTTTTACTCGTGTTGTTTTGCTGCTTGAACCGCTAAGCCACCCCTTGGTCTCATTTTATATCGAGGAGTTCCCCGCTGCCCCAACTGCAGTGCACGTCGACCTGAATTGCGAAAGTTTATCAGCAGCTGCCGCCTTTGTGGCCAATCGTTTGTGGGACCTTTTCCTTTTCATTTACCTGTAAAGTCACCTGCGGATCTAAACTCCGCGCCATTGAGCAGCCCAACCTGAGCCCGCCGCCTCGCTCTTCTGCCACGGCGAGAGGAAACCTGCGTGTCAAACTGGTCTTCGCATTTGCGCCTTGCATCGAACCACAAGCTGTGTCGTTGAAGTTTGCAAGTTGGATAGGCGCCCTGCTGCAGCCCTAGCCGCGCCCCCCCTCGATCACTGGGTATACAGATCCCGCAGCCCCAAACACAACAGGGGTGTAGGGGGCTCTCCTTTGGGAGCTGTTGACATTTGTCAAATAAAGTCAGCTTTTCGACAACGAAAATTGTACCTGGAGCGGCAGAAGAGCAGCAGGCAACAATAGCTGTGTCACCAGGAGCAGGAGCAGCAGCAGCACGCTGGCGTCCGGAATGTGAAGATGAGTGAGATGCAGGTTCAGTTTGGACCATTCCTTCCAGGACAGACGGCGCAGGAGGAAGACGAGGAGGGTGCCGACATGCCTCCCCCGCCTCCCCCTCTTCTGTACCCTCGGGGAGTATGTACAGCTGCTTGGGACAAGGCGAGGCTGCAGTTGGCATTGTTGCTGTCTCGCACTGCAGCCGATGTTGGGGCGGCTCCGTCGACAACAGCAGCGGCAGCCGCGGCTTTTCACATGAGTTTCCCTTCATTTTTCCACATCGACCCTTCAGCCGTTTCCTCCAGCCTTTCCGCCTCTCTCTTTTTATCAGCAAAGGCTGCAGATGAAGAGTTCAATCTCAGACGGGTCATTGCTTCTCTTGGATTTTGCAGCCACCATGCCTCAGGAGCGGCGGAAGAACGCCGGAGGCAACAGCATCAGCAGCAGCTCAAGCAACATCAGCAGCAGTACGGCGGGGAATACGTCGCCCTAGGCATCAAGGAATATTGGCGTCAGAGGCAGAGTTGTTTCTTAGAAGAGCAGAGGCTTATGCAGGCTCTGGCTTTCACTTTTCCAAACCCAACCATTTGGCAGCAGCTACCTCTGTTGCTGCTGCTCTCTCGGCCTGCGGCCGCAGAAGCTGCTATTACAGCGGCTCTTGTTGCTGATGCTGCTGTGGGACCTCTTATAGCGGAAGCTGAAGAGAGGATTGTCCTAGTTGCTGCGTGTTTGCTGGCAAGGAAGCTGGTTTGTCGATTCCGAGACAGGAACAAGCAACAGCAGCAGCAGCAGCAACAGTGGTCGTACGCGCCAGCTTCTGCTGCAGTTTCTGCTGCTAGTGCGACGCCTGATCATAAAGCAGCGGCAGCAGACACAGTTCAGCTGCTCGAAGATGAAGTCAATGCAACTGCAGCAGCGCTACGGCCGGGAGAGGGCGACTCGCGCAGTATGTTGCTGCGGTTGGTACCGCTGCTGCAAGGCATCAACAGTAGCATCGATCAGTGCAAGGACAGTAGCATTGAAAGCAACGGCGGGCCGTTATGTCGGCAGCTTGTAGCAGCAGCGAAGAAGATGCTACTGCAATACACGCTGCTGTTGGATGACAGCCATGGGCATCAGGTGTACGGGCGACTGGCTGGGGTGGGAGCTTGAATGTGGTTTCCCTGTAGCACCCCTGCTCCGTCTTTGTGCAGTATTGGAAGGAAATATTCAGGTTTGTGCATCGGGCCCCCTTAAGATGGCTTAGGTACCAATGTTAAGGTACTTCTTCTGTGGATGTGCTAGCGCCGGTGCCACTGCTGCTGCTGCCCCTTCATTTGCTCTTGCGAATGCTACCACTAAGGCTGCAGCGGCTTCTGCTGGTCCTTGTCATAGGCGAACTACTTACAAAGCGTGTTCTACTGCTATTTTGGAGGAACTACTTGCAAAGTATGTTCTACTGCAATTTTGGAGTGTAGTTGTTCATGCCGTCAAGGAGAAATCTGTGGCAACGGGATAGGTTGCGGGTAATTTTGGAACTTGTGTTCCATTTGATTTGTATTTTTGTTGAATTACCTTAATAGACCCCTTCCCCTGTGGCAAGATGATTCCACTGTAGCAATGCAGAGGAGCCAGTGCGCTACATGCAACTGTAGCGTGGGATTAGCTGAGCAGTGGAGTGTGTTAGGTCGTTCACTAGCCGCAGTCGAAGGGTTAGGAAGGTAACTGCATCTGGCCCAAGGCATGAATGGTAGCAGGCCTGCGGGCAAAGTGGAGGGAATATCCCAGTGTGAATTGAAAGGCGAAGCAACAATGCGTAAGTGATAGAAGTGAATAGCCCCACGGCCTCACCACGTTAGTTGCGGACGAAAAAAAATGGCATCCACAAGACAACCATCAAGTCAAGGGGATCTGCTGTAGGATATTCCAAGGAAATCCAGGGGCCCGCAACTGGATTTCTTAAGAGCACCCTTCAAAAGTGGTTTACAGGAGCATGAAAGGGTAGTTCTCTGGCTCATGTACGCTGTAGGGCAGGGCCTTTTATGGCTGTGAAAGATTCCGGACGTTTAGTGGGGTAGCACCGCCAGAACCCTGAGGTGCCCGCGGTTCGGCTGAAAAGGGAAAGGCATACGCACATCCTCATTTGGATGAGATGCTAGCGAACACCATCTATCTTGAGAGGTAGGAGAACCCCCTGTCGGCACAATCAAACACAAGGTCATGCTTCAATGTTTGCTGCATGCGTCTATTCAGTTTCATAAGTTTTTTCATTGCATATTAAGGTATTGCATGCCTTTATAATGAATGCACCTTGCTTTTTTCAGCTGGCATTACCTTTGGATTAGTGCAATGTGCTGGTTAGGATTCCAGATAGAACAATGAGAATTCTGGCGTACCAAGCAACTCTGTAAGCTGCAAATTCGCATGCTATCCCGCAAAAGGTACTATTATACTGCACTATCAGAAACACTGTACAGTGGCAACACTGGCAAGTACGCTAGCTGCGCAACTCAGCACAATTTTCACCCCCTAACAATCACGACACCACAGAGGCCTCCAGCCTTGCAACCTCACTGCGAACGTAAGCAGCAGCAACGGCGGGCTCAAATGGCCCATTATTATCACGATAGGTCTACATATATATGCAGCACACGAGAACCTCTACCTGCCACGTCCACAGCTATCCCCAATGGCACGCTGGTACACTTGGATACACCACACAACCCAGTAATTCTGTAATGCACATTCTCTGAGGATGAATGCTCTACGCCAACTGACTTCACCTGTGTTCGCGTCCAACAAACCCAAAATGCCCAATTCAACCAGAACTCCAGCACGCCAAACTTTACAGACAAACTAGTCGACATATAGTCGAATGCCACCCTCGAAACCGGTGTCCATATTTGGCTTGCCTATTTTTCCAAAGACGCACACGCTTCAGCGGTGAAGTTGGGCAGACCGAGCACCATTCGTCGCAATTAAAATGGGACTAATATTTGTCGACTATTTTCACCCCAAGGCAGAGGCACAGCCGCCCAGCAAACGCAGAGCATTGCCGTCATAAATGTCTACAAGCTGAGCAGGTCATTCAACCGCTATCACTGCGACATTCTCTATCAACACCAAGCTGTATCAAGAATCCATCCCTCCTGGTACAAAATGCACATCAACCAGCAAGCAGCGTTCGACTTCAAGTCCTCCATCTACGCTTGTAACCCAGCTACACCACCAACTCCACCACGGCCCTCAACACAAATCAAAGAACTACTTCCACAAATAACGCAAAACTTCTCCATTGTAAAGACGCTGACGCAGATCCAAGCGCATAAGCTTTTCGATGCGTTCACCAACCCGCATGTAGCAACGATGAGGAATATCGAAAGAAGAGCCTTGTGACACATAGCTCGCCTACGATATAGCCGTTTCCACTCTCACAGAAATGTCCATAACACAGCCTTCAACACACACAACCAAACAAATGCGCGATATTGCACAATCGCCTGGGCGTCGCAAATCTGACGGCGGCAGCACACAGGCAAGCAGGCTAGCTGTGGAATAGTATCTTCAGCCCGTTCCCTTGTACATTCGGCACAAAGCTACAGACACAAAGCAGCATTCGGCTTGGAAGCATTCTCACTGTATGACTGCTGCGGAGCTACACAAGGTCACAACTCAGTCCTACAGTTCAAGGACCAACACGGGAAATCATAAATGCTGCAATCCTTCAAAGACGAAGCAGCTTTGACCAAGCTAACGCATAAATCCCAAAGCACCGTCAATGTACAACAACCCCAGTTTTCCCTTGCGATCGCCTTGCTACCATCGTCCTTTTCAAATGAACGTTCTTCGCCACAAAAGGAGGCAAATCGAGAACCACCACATGAGTAGGGTTTCTACTTCAGCAAACTCAAAACGCCATTTCACCTTGCTCTAATGCAGCTGACGCTCTATAGCAATGAACTGCAGAGTCACGCTCCTGGCGTACGTCCTGCATCAAACACTCGCAACACGACCACACGGAACAAAATGCAGGACAATAAAGGCTGCAATCGTTCCCTAGAGCTGCAGCTTCAACTAAGCTAACGCATAAACCCTAATGAACACCGCCAAACGTGCGAGGTAGGAGCCGCCTGGTGCCACAATCAAACACACGGAGGATCCCGATCAACTGTCATGCCTCAATATTTGCTGCTTTCTCTTAATCAGTTTGGTGGGTTTTCGCAAAGCTCATTTGCATGCCTTTATAATGCGTGAAACTTGCTTATTTCTGCCGGCACTAACTTTGGATGCGTGTGGTGAAAGTTTTAGGATCCAGATGAACCTAGCAGGTTCTGGCGTACCAAGCAAGCTTAATGAGCTGAATACTCGCATCCTATACCGCAAAGGGTACTATTATACTACATTCTCGGAAACACTGTACAGTGGCGTCATTTGCAAGTAAGCTAGCTGCGCAACTCAGCGCATGTTATACCCCTAATAACACAATAACACCCGAAAGGCCTCTAGCTATGGAAGCTCATTACGAACCTAAACAGCAGCAATAGCGCGCTCAAAATGTACGTGACTAGCCACTTAGCTCTACTCATATATGCAGCACACCACAACTAAGACTACCCCCAATGTTACACTGGTGCAATTCGATACAGCACACAACCGCGCAGTTCGGCAACGCGCATTTTCGTCGATTATTGCTCTACTCCAACTGACATCAACCGTGCTCCCCTTCAACAAACGCAAACAGTCAACATCTACAGACAATCTGGTCGACAGCCAGTTAAAGTTCACTCTCACAACAAGTGCCCATATTGGGCTTGCCTTGTTCTCCAAAAGTGCAGACGCTCCAGCGGTCAAGGTGGGCAGATCGAGAAAACCTCATCCCAGTTGAAGAATGCCTGGGATTTAGCGACTACTGACACCCCATTTCAGAGAGACAAATGGCACGAAAGATCACGGCCAAGACGAATGAGGATGCAGAGTGGTGATAAACAATGCAAGGGTGTCAAAACGTCTGCAAGTGAAGTATCCCACAGCCTGGTCCCGCAAACACGCAAAAAGCGAAATTCTCACAACTTGCGCCCTCACATGACTGCCTCTGATGGCGATCTGATGTGGAACACAGTTCTGCTCGTGTTAAAAACAATCTGCCAAACGCATACATATTCCAGAATCCAGCACTGTCGAACAGTTTACAGTTTTTGCCGAGCGACACATCACTGCTACGTGTGTCTAATCCCAAGCACATGGCACATCAAAATACATTTTCCACAAACAACGAGAAGCTCGTACATTGTGAGGAAGCTGACACAGCTGTCCAACATCCAAGCTCAGTGGCTGTTCGTTGCGTTCAACATGGCGCACATAACAATGAGAAGCACCAGGACACCAGACAGGTGTCATGCCGTGCTGCTACGCACCTACGCAGAAGCAATAACTGGCTCAAAAGGCCCATCATTAGCAAGATAGGTCTACACATATATGCAGCACATGACAGCTCTCCCTGCCACGTCCATGGCTAGCCCCAATTACACACTAGTGCATTGGGTCACACCACGCAACCCCGTGGTCCTGCAATGCACACTCTCTGTCGATGCTTGCTCTACTCAAACTGGCATCAACCGTGCTTCTCTCAAACACAAGCGAAATGTCAAGCACTACAGACGAAGTGGTCAACAACTAGGCAAAAGCCAACCTCGCAACCAGTGTCCACATTTGGCTTCTCCAGGATACCGAAGACGCATAGCCTTCAGATGTCAAGGTCGGCAAATCGAGCAGAATCTATCACACATAAAAATTTGTATTCTCCGACCACTGGTAGCCCACGTGGAAGAGGAAAAAGCGGAGCAAGAGTAAAGCATCGCCCCCCTGGGACGCTTACAGAGCAGGTCATTGCGATGCGATGCGGAACACAGTTCTCCTCGTGTTAAAAACAATCAGCCAACCCCATACATATTCCAGATTCCAGCGCTTTCGAACCGCTTTTTCCAAGTGACACAGCACTGCGACACGCGCCGAATCAAACCATCCCCTCCCAAACTGCTTTATAGCTGCACCCCACTGTTATTAATAAAACGATTGACTGGTGCATCACAGCAAGCAGATGAGGCAAAGTAGCTTCCGCACGTGAATTCTGCTGGACGTCCCCGACCAGCAATCCAGCCAGTACGGGACAGCAA